CTTTGTCGTATTCAAAATCAGATGAACACACATACCGAAAGGAAAGCCGGTTAAGCAGCAACTAACTAACAGTGAGGTTGAATTGGAAATGAGACGATATGACAGAAAATAATTTATAGATCAGTAACAATTACAACAAATCCAATTTATATTCTATACAAAATATGTTGTCTTGGACACAAATTATTAAATTATACCGACGTAGCTCTCAGTACTCGTGGCAAATTCGACTAGTGATCGAGAGCAGACAGCCATTAAAAGACAGAAAAATATGTGTTATCCTCACATGTTAAAAGATCCAATGAAATAATTGAATATAACATAAATATGTACTCGTAGTTATCCTATCACTAACATAAAGCCAGTTAGAATTTCAACAGGAAACTATTAAAAACAAATCTCTTAACAAAATTCTAACTTTCAAAACTCGATCAATTTAGAAATAAAGCTACGTTTGTCCTGAGTTACTGATATTGACAAAATGAATTGAATGGTGCTGCTCTGTACAGAAATATTTTTCGGCAAAGTGAATATTGTAATACCAATTTGAGAACATCTTCCACCTCTTCCATTTTATCATTCTATTCATAAATACTTGCTAACATAGGTAAGCAGAAGGTTTTTAGAACTATGTACGGGAAGTATTCGGTTCAAATCTCGACCGGGAACCCTGAGATTCTGAGTGAGATTTTTCATGGTTTTCTTCAGTGACTTTAGGCAAATGCCCGGGTGGCACATCGGCTAGGTCACGATATCTCCCATCCAAGTCTTTTCTAATTCAGTATTCCTCAACCATCCTAACTTTCGACGGCATATATTTTCGGTACTGCCCGAATCGCAAAATCAACCACAAGAGGGCAGAAATAACCTCAGAGAGGGAGGGCTTAGCTTCTTATGTAAAGGACCGCATTAGTTGAGGTATTGCGCAATATACGCTGCAGATTAACACCTTGTGAATTAGTGAACGGGTTTGATAGTCATAAGAAGCACACGAGGTACTAAACTGAAGAAGCCTTCAAGTCACTGAACGCACATATTCCAAGTGGAATTCAAAGACACATGTTTCATCTACAGATATGCATTAAGATTTGTGGTGGACACGTTAAAAATAGCAGAAAATAAATATAAAATAATTTGCCTTTGAGTTCTAACTCTTCGGGCACTCTGTGAGAGTAAACAGCCTCTCTGAAATATTAATAATACTTAAGAAGAAGATGATGGGATTCCGTAATACACTTGCTGTAATGTACTTTATCATAGCCAGTAAATTAAGAATTTCTGTTAACGGCAAGTCAGATTCACTTTCCCTACTCTGAATCAGGTTTGTGGAACAAGGGTCTCAGTTTGTCAGTTGCTTGCAAATGAACCTCTGACGAAATATTCAAGTCTTGATACAATTGCATGTAGCAGACTCCTGTTATAAAACAAGGCAGGCTGCTTCAGGTGATAAATTCGAAGAGTAGGCGCGCCTCGCTTGCTATGTAGGAAGCAAAACCTATAAGGAATGAAAGTGATACAGAACTTGCAACGCGGAAGACCTTGGAAATCAGTGTGACGTATGTTCTGAAGAGGTTTACTACTAAAGCAGCGCTTTTTTAAAAATATAATCAACTTGTCCCCTGATAAGAGAGAAGCAAATACTATATTTGAAACTGAAAGAATATACCTAATCGTATACAGTTTTTACCCACAGAGAAGTTGCACTGTCACACAAACTTTACCTTCTGAACCACCGTTTGCTCCACTACAAGTTTCTGCCCAAATTGACCATCGTTAGATTTGAATAAGACATAAAGGTAAAGGTACAAATGTCCCTGTGTCTAATTAATGAAGCACTAAGCCATGAAGACCAATCCTCACCTCGGTACTAGGTGACCAGATTCACGTCCCGGTCGCTTTAGCGCCCCCGGTAGGCACTGGATATGAGCGTGGGTGGGCTGCAGAATAGAAAAATCTCTTTCCCTGTTGGGAATCAAACCCTGGTAGTCCAACCCGTCGCTACACCAACTAAGCTCTCCCGGATCATTGGAATAATGCATATGTTTAGTTATTTGTGTCAGCCTGCACTTGTCTATTCTTGGAAAAGTGTCGTATACGAATTCTTGTTGTTGGGTTTACTTTCTGAAAAGATTTCTTCACGTCAGAACGATGCGAGTAGAAACCAGTATTTCTTGTGGAAGCCTTGGGGATATCTGGAGATATTTTCCTTGCCAATATGTGTGGGTTACGGTTTTGTTATGTACATACTGTCTTTACAGATCATGCATCTGATAGAAGGAACATATTGCGTGTCTGCTCAGTATTTTCTGATAGTCTATTACACCGAATCTCCAAAACAGCTTATAGGATCTATAGAAGAGTCCGTTTATAGAGTTATGCGTACCACACTCTAGTTTCATCAGAACGATTGAAGAGATGAATTACATAATAAATTTTAGTGCAAGGTTTCTATGAAGAATTCTAACAGAATCTGCAAACCGGATATGAGATACCTGGAGGAATCCGTTTATAAACTTATGCAAAGCAGACTTCATTATGGTGCAATATGACTGGAAATCTTTAAAACCCAGTAACCTCTGTAGAAATCTCCCACTTCGATTTTCAATAATATTTTCGAAAAGATTTATGGGACGTTATTTTTGACCTCATATAAATCATTCTTTATTTTGGAAGAGTGGGGCTGAAATGAGAATTGCTGCGCATATTTTAACAGAAGTCCTCCATACAGAACTTTAAGAAAATCCGTCCAATATTTAGGCGTTGTCATTAAGTCACAAGGAGAAGGACACATGACCTCCGCAAAGGACGTCCTCTTTCACTTTGTAAAGAACATCTGAAAGCGAATTAATATTGTAGCATGTAGAGCAGCTGGCAAGTAATAACTCTATAAACAACGTCCGCTGCTAGGCAACGGATTCCTAACAGGCAACAATTTAACAACAGAGGAACAGTGTTTCCTCTACGGTCCGTACCGAGATGTTACAATCAGGACAATTAATGAGAGTTAGTGTAGTGTAAGGAAGTGAAGTTGGTTAGTGAATTAGTGGCAGAGAGGTCCAGTTCAGTCGTTGTGAACTGTTGCTGTTGGAAGCTGGTTGCTGAGTCACGGGGATATATGGGGAACCCACAGCAAGAGGAACGTCCACTGTTGGAAGCCGTTACAAGGCAAACGATTGGTGAAGACACAGCAGACTGATAAGACTTAGAATGTATTGTAGTGTATTGTAGAGTGTGTGAGTTAACAATAACACTTTAGTTATTTGTAGTTACGATCTGGAAGTGCTCAATAAATCCTGTTACCAATTCAAACCCCGTCTATAGTAACTCAATCAAATGACAATATATTTCAAGTTAATAACAACCACCTTCGACAGGATATGCATTGCATATAAGTACGTAGTTACAGTTCTACACGATTGCAGACAACTTAAGTTGAGCGGATCCTTATATAACATATTCATTTCGACAAGGATATTTCACAGGAGAAACCGAAACAAGGACTATCCAGCGCGAAAATTAAACTCGTAATTATCGGTTACGGTTTCCATAATCGTTCTCTTTATATGCAACACGGTAATAGTTTTTAACGGGGAATGGCTCTTACAAACTGTATTTAAACTACTTCAATAGCTCACAAAATTAGCATTTCAGTGTAAATATAACTCACTCAGTTTCATAGATTTTTTCATTCTTTTCTCTCAGTTTGCTCAATGGTCACGGCCGATAATGTCTGCCACACACAGGACAAATGCAGGAAATACTCTGACACAATTTTAAATTTATTCCAGCAAACTATCCAAATGTTTCATCTTTCATTTACATGAAATTTTGTGTCATGACACGGAAATTGTGTAGAGCCGGGATAGTGAAGTTAGTATAGCGACTGGCTAAGGGGTGGACGGCCGAGGGGTCGGAGTTCAAGTGTCGGTAGGGGGCAGATTTTTTCTCTCTACGTCATACAGACCAGTTCTTGGGTCCACCCAGCCTCCTATTCAATGGGTACCTGGCGCCTTTTCCTCGGGGGTAAAGCGGCTAGGGAATGAAACTGACCGCTCACCTCCAACAGGGGCCGAGATCAAGAATACGTGGAGCTATATATCCACTCCTCCATACTTCTTCATGGCGTGATGCATGATTAGATAAGAACACGTATAGTTTACCTTTTACATGGAAATGATATCATTTTATACATATAATTTTATTAGTAATGTTTTAATGCTATGAGCCAGTTTAAACCAATCCTTATATATTTATAGAACAAACCGATTGACATTTGTAACTGTACTAAGTTATTCAGTCTATTTAGTCACGTGTTTTATAAACGACAAATTTTCCTGAATAGAAATTAAAAATACATTTTTATTAATCTTTATACAGGCGAACCATCTGCTCACATAACTCAAGCTGAGGCCAATCGTTATTTGCATTATTTCCTTTACCCTGCAACCTGTCACAGATGAAGGTCGCTGTCGAGTAATTTGTATTCATGTTACGTGTCTGGGAGGTCTCATTTCAAGTCAAGGTCCAGATACTGGCTATTTTAACTTGATTTTCGTAGCTGACCTCAGTCCTTCCAAGCAAGTGCTGAGGTAACATCTTTAAATAGGCCACGGACAATTCCACATTTTTTCAATTTATTTTTAACTAATCATCTTATCATTGTACGCTATTAACTGACAATTGAAAGTGTCGTTTGCTGAATAATTAATAAACACCTCTAAGTATAATAAATTTCCTGTACTATGTAAAATAGAAACATAAATACCACTGTTTATAATAGGTTTAAAATAAATTAATTTTACAAAGAGAAGAGTCGCAATGTTCCAAAAATTGCTTCAATGCGAACAACAGGAAAGCCACATTTTCTCTTTGAAAAATCTGATTCGCTCAGCTAAATACGTATAAATATCTCAGCAAAGAGCCTACGAATGCACTTCATATTCAAAACTGGTTCATAAACAGATATATAATTTTTATAAATAAATATATATTCAACTTACGTTATCACAAATAGCTTCATCGTTGCTCCAAATCTTCACTCCTGTATTTGAAAACAAAATAAAATAATAATATAATATATTTAAGGGATATTAATTTACTACATAAAGTGATATATAATTAATTTGAACACTGTTGTTGAAGACTAGGTATAGGTTAAAACTGGAAGGGCGCCGGGCGTTGTGCCTCTGTTTTATACACACGTGACGTCACAATTAGCCTCCCTACTTTAACTAGAACCCCCACCCTCTGTCTCCTTTCTTCCCCTACTCCTCGCTTTAAGTCGTAAAGAGAAATCTGTTTTTGTGTCAGTTCAGATACTCAATCGGATTTAAAGGCCGAATGTGCAAGTCAAACCTAATACATGCGTCTGCAAGCTTCTGTCACATAGCATGAGAAGCAGCGTAAGGGTTCCATATGCTGAAGCCGGGAACATTGGCGAAGAAAGGATTGCATAACATGAATAAGTAATTCTATATAGGAGAGTCCATTTTAAGGTGATAGTTATCGCGGAGACACTAAAAAATTACTCGCAAACACGGAATCCGAAATTTCATCATCACCTTCACAAAATTTCTAGCCTGAGCCAGATGAATCTTGCCTGTGCCCAAACACACCCTAATTGTTTCCGAGATCCATTTTGAAGCTATTCTCCAAAATCTCTTCTGAAACACCCATAATCTATGTAATTTTCATAGCGTGAGGCAGTCATTAGAAACAACAACCAATATAGTGCTTTGGCAGTTTCAAAGATTATATACTTGTTGGATATGTATATAGATACACACCGATCAAAGTCTGTTAATATACATAAGAATTCTGAAGTACCGTTATGCCTTGCGGTTGACTTATACATGAAATTCTGCACACTGCACACAATCTGTTGTTACGTAACACTTAATTAGTATTTCTTCGGTTACTTAACGAATCATTTCAAACTGCATAGTTTGTACAACGTCATGTGGGAGGATGCGTGCAAATGGTGCCCTCGAACAAAATGGTGGTCGCTATATAATATGATGTCGATCACCACGACTGTCTGGCCGCAAATCGTGCTTCATGTGCCGGAGACCTCGAGTTTAACTCTCGGACCGAATATCTATTATCCTTAGTTTTCCATACATTCCGCTATACCTCTATAAAAATGTTGTGATGGAACCTATTCGAGGTACCTGTATTTAAACACGAGACTTCCCATGTACGAAGCACTAGTTCAATCCACCAGACCGTAACAATTGTTAACATTAATACAAAACTCAACGTTGTTTTATGGTAATTATTCTTACAGACGTCTGAAATTGAACAGGAAGTCTCATCATTTGTTGCATACGAGTAAGCTTCCCCTTCCAATATTCCTTCCCACTCTTACATACGTGTTATCGAATTATACGCCTAGGCCGACTTTCAGCCCTATCTGTCACGTATGACACGCACAAATAGTCAACCGTAAACGTCACCTTTATATAGTGCCCTGCACTTCACATACCAACAATATCATATTGTCACGTGTATTACTGACTTCTAGACGGGGTTTGAATTGGTGAATCCATTTATTTGATACTCATAGGTCATAAATACAAGTAATTATAACATTCTGAAAGTTACTGTAATTATAACACAAAAATAATGCCCTCAGAATTTTATTACACTGGTCGTTGCTAGGTAAAAATCCCAACAATGCCTAGGCCTTTACAATGTCTTCAATATCCTCTTCCTGGCGATGGCTTTTAACACAGAAGCTGTTACTTCGAATCACCAGGAAGTTTTCTTATCATTTCTTGTTTAATCACCTTGGAATGCCGACCCTCCAGAACTACTTATTTTTCCAATCTCCAGTCTTCAATCTCATCTGTCAAGTCGAAGTCAAAGTTAGTTTATGACTGGCGGTTTACCGCCAATTAATTTGTGTTGGCGTCAATCCCCTTGAAAACCACGATCAGAGGTTTCTTTCCACCCCACCCCCCCCAACTGAACCCTTGCGGTATTAGTCGTTATGTAACATCCTCTCTGATGAGAAGATGGGTTTGCCTCTTATGAATATGCCTGGCCTTTCGTCAATATACACTTCGCTCATATAGCATGTTATTGAAAATTTGTTGCTTTCTGGTCAAAGTCAAAGTCACATTGCGACTGGCAGTCAGTCGGTCAGTAAGTCCTGGTGTCGGGGCGTCTGGGGCTCATGTTGAGATATTTGTTACTGTTTGACAGTTACGGTCTTGTTTGGTGGGACGCGGCACAGACCATATAGAAAACCCCTTACAATATTGTAGAGACGCCTAGAAACCAGTCTCGATACATATTGTCATAGTAATTGTCATACAATGATAGGGGAAGTTGTTGCCTGTCGTTGCGTAGCAATGAGTCAGATTATTATCAAATCTCACAAAGACTGCTCTCAGGCTCATGTCTTGCTGTGTTCATGTAACTTGCTAACGCTCGACAATCCATTGATGTAGTAACCCGAAATTATATGAGTTCAGAATTTTCGTTTCACGCTTAGAAATTTTTTTTTATATCGAGAAAGAAAAATGTTAGAAAGAACAACAGTACAGTACTACTACTACTACTACTAGTAGTAGTAGTAGTAGTAGTAGTAGTAGTAGTAGTAGTAGTAGCAACAGTGAAATTTGTAGCAATGTCCTCTCACTACTATTACTGGCAAAAACTTGCTGTTACTACTACTACTACTACAACTACAAATAATAAAAAAATAATAATCATAATGATAATAGCACAGACATAAACTGTGGCTTATACAACAGTCTCCTAATAGGTGTCTGTTATGTAGACTGTGAGATCCAGTAGTCTACTATTGCAAGGAACCTGGCTAGGATAAGGAGCGTGGAATTAATAGTACAAAAATTTGGCGAGGAAGCCACCGAGAAAACTGAAGAGATAGAAAGATAAGAAAAATGTGCTTTACTAAGAAGAGTTTTTATGATGAGAGCTGGATGAGACTGGGCCTTGTCTAATGGCCTAATTTGGTATTAAGTATGTTGAACTCACGGGTACCTTTATGAAAGTTTCAGTTAAAATAATTCCATTCAGTTCAATTCTTCAATTATTTGCTCGCTTAGTCAACAGCCTAAATGTAAATTAAAAGGTATTTTGTTATTGCTAGTGGGGTGGGACTAAGTCCCTTGTACTGCGGCCACTTCTGGCCTATTGTACCAGTCCCAGATGATAGGTGAGGGTGATTGTGGAGCAATTGGTAAAATGAAGATCGGCAGGGGAAACCGAAGTACTCTGAGAAAACCTGCCCCAGTGCCATTTTGTCCACCGCAAATCCCACTTGACCAGACCCGGGTTCGAACCTGGGCCGCCGCGGTGGGAAGCCAGCGACTAACCGCTTGAGCTATGGCGCGGCCCAAATTAAAAATTAAGTACGAATGAAGAGTGTAACAAAACAAACACACATGAACAAGAGACAAACAAGGTAACGTGTATAATTTAAACAGTAACAATTAAATGATTGCAACCCAACCTAACCACAAAGCAGAGAGAAGAAGTATACGTTAATCTTGAATACAATCAATATTGTAATAATTAATTATTAATGAGTGTAGTTGTAAAATACGATTAAGATTTGATTCCAAATACGTCAGTGTCCTTGTAAGTAACATCTGCTGCAGCGCGTCTAGCAGGACAACTCTTACTAGAAGAGCAGGCATTGAACACAGAAAAGTCTCTGATAAACGGAGCAGGAACTCGGAGATCAGTTTCTCGAAGCGAAGGACAGAACTTAGAGCCAAGGGACAGTTCGTCCAAGGTTGTCCAAGTGGTTCCTCCTATATTTTCAATTGCTCTAAAGTATACGCATATGCATGTATATAAAATGGATTTGAGAAAAGAAACGTTTACAGAGGAGGGCTCCAAATTCCTGCTGAAGGCGTTCCAGTTCACTGGTACTTGTAGACGTAACAGAATTTCTAACAATAAATGCACGTTTTTGCTTAGGTATAACAAAGATAAAATATAATCTGTACATACATTTTAGGGACGAGAAGAGGAAAGTAACGCCACGAACTAGACCTAACAATGTATTGTAACAAGAAAATACGTAGATATGATTACGGAAATGAAGTTTAAAATCCAGAAATACCTCCAGGTCTTCGACAGAGACTGTATAGGTTATAGAAGATAAAAAATTATATTCCTAGATCAATACATTACTTTTCTTTGAGAATGGCATGACTTTAGTTTCACGGTTGCTGAGTTTCGGCGATCACAATTGCCTCGCGGTCTAAGGCATGAACTGCTCGAACACTTGTGTCGTGGGTTGGAATCCCACTAAAGGCATGGATGTCAGTGTGTGTTTATTCTGTGTTTATGTTGTTCTGTGTGTAGGTAGCGGCGTTGCGATTGGTTGATCCCACGTCCCAGGAGTCCTACCGATTGTCTTAGGATTAAGAAACTGAAGTGAAACAAAGCGTTTCACGGATTCCCTCTGCTCCGAAGTGTGAGCAAGAAGAGAGATAAACAGACAGACAGACAGACAGACTGTAAACATATGTCAATATCCGATCTCACTTTATATGAAATATTGAGAGTAGATCTAAGAATCAGTAACTACCAGTAATTACTTTCTTCTCGGTCGTGTCTTAGGATTATCTTCTAAAAAGAATCAATTCTCAATTTCACACAGTATAAAATTTAACAGTTTGAATTCGAAATGAGTAATCATCATAGAATATATCTCTTAATGTTAGTATTGTAGGAGAATTGCAATTGAGATTAGGCCGATTACGCCGAAATGTTATATTGAACTGTATTAGAAGGGAAATGAGCATATAATAGTACATGAAATTGAGAACTCTTTTAACTGAGTGAGGTTTTAACTGGGATGTAGTAATGTAGTAACACCCAGCAAGGAAATTAGATAGACCATTTACTGAGAACTCAGTACGGCTCAATCTTTAATGAATGATCTTTTAAGAAACCATATTAATTACATTTTAGAGAAAGACGTGAAGTGTTATTACAACTTCACATTTACACTAAATCTTGTGATTCGCTATGGCTTTATGGCTCAAAAATGAGCATTAGTTTCTACAAGTATGCTGACACAATTGCGAACTTGTGCACTCCATTCTCAGACATGAATCCATTACGTGTGACGTCAGAAAATAATATTTAGGTAATTAAATCAATGGGGC